CGACGCTCAACCGCTGAGCCAAACTGGCCAGGGCGTGATGCTACTTCTGGACAGAGGCCATGAACCTCCAGAAGCTGGAGAAGGCAAGAAATGGAGCACAGTCCTGCTGACACCTTAACTGTAACCTAGAAGACCAATTTTCAGACTTCTGACCTCCAGAACAGCAAGATAATAAATTTATGTTGTATTAAGTCACTAAGCTTGTGGCACTTTGTGACAGCATCAGAAGAAACTAATACAAACAGGGACTCTGAAATACTCCCAGTTCTAGGGAGTTGCTAGTTCAGATGAATGCACACTAAAAATTAAGAGCAGCAGAAACCATTTGTCTGATTGGTGCTAGTCTTACAAGGTGAGCGAAACGATCCTCTTCACCAGGTCCCTCCATCATCTCCATGAGCTTATTCCTTTGACGACAACTGAGTATCAGTTTGACTAGTGACCAAACCAGCATTTTGGTGGGTGGTTTTTTGTTGTTGTTGTTTTTTAATTTTTTTTCTTTATTAATTTTAAAGAGAGAGAAAGGGAGAAGGAGAAAGAGATAGAAACATCAATGGGAGAGAACATTGACTGGCCGCCTCCTGCATGTCCCCCACTGGGGATTTGGCCCACAACGTGGGCATTTGCCCTGACCGGGAATCAAACTGGCGACCTCTTGGTGCATAGGTCAATGCTCAACCACTGAGCCACAGCGGCTCAAATCAGCATTTTGTAAGGCTTATGTATTCATATGAAATTTGTTATTCTAGAAGCAATCATACTCCCCAAATAATTTAACCAAAGAGTCTGGCAACAGTCAGGCAAGTTTCCTGGGGGGAAAACTCCCACTGATTCGTAGCAGGGAAGATGTGTACAGTTGGGGGCGGGGGTATTTAACTTTGAGAACTCAAACACTCAGCACCCTGTCCTTTTTTGCAAGACTAAGCAAGACAAAGAGTAGGTGGGCTGGTGTGAAGAGCCCCTCAGAAAGGTGGCTTTCCAGAGCTGCCAAGAATACAACTTGGGAATAGAATCACAGTCTTAAACTAAATCATAAGCTTCAGCACAGTCAGGTTAAGGAGCCAGTTTCAGAACAAATTCAGAAACTGAGTCACCTCCAAACTCAACTCAAAGCAATTAAAAGCAATCTTTGGAGGAAGAGAGAGAGAGAGGGAGAAAACATAGTCTTTGGAATTAGATAGTTCCAGGCCGTATTTCTTCCTCAGCTGTGTGCATTATGTAGGGATAATATTTAATATCTCTAGAGTTAAATTTTCTTGCCCTAAAAATGAATATAGCATTTACCTTATACCTCATAGAGTTGTGAGGATTAGGTAAAATAAAGTATAAAAGGGGATTCACACACAGGCTAATGAATGCAAGCTTAATAAATGGTAGTTTTATAGAGTCATGCTGTTTCACTGTGCTCCCAGAGCACCCAGTGCACGTCTGCCCGAGCCTCTCTCCATCAGAATTACAGACGAGGAGAAAGTGAAACCCTCAAAGCAGAAACCAGTTGCATTCATGGTTATACCCCTAGCATTCAGCACAGTGCCTGATCCGTTGGGACTTTCACATTTTAAATAATGAACTGATCCTAGCCGTGGGTCAGGAGGTATCTGAGACATCAATTATGATATATGATTATAGGATATTTCCATGTGTGACCCATTAGGTGGTGAAATAAATTTAGTGAGTCATGCTAGCATTTTTTTTTTTAATCCTCATCCGAGGACATTTTTCCATTTTTTTTGTACAGACAGAGTGGGAGGGAGAGAGAGGAAGAGAGAGAGAGGGAAACATCGATGTGAAAGGGACACATCGAGTGGCTGCCACCCGCACGACCAACCAGGACCGGGGACAAGCTGCAACCGAGGTGCATGCCTTTAGCGGGAACCGAACCCGGGCCTCTCCAGACTGCAGGCGGACGCTCTAACCGCTGAGCCAAACTGGCCAGGGCCATGCTAGCATTTTTTAAAAAGGAAAAATAACAGGGTAGAAAAGATCAGAGTACAAAACACATAGAAAGGTTAAGTCCTGTTACATGAAACCTTTGTTTCAGTGACATATGGGAGTGTACTTGGTTGTAATGCAAATACATTTCTTATTGTGGGTAGGGATAAAAAAAAAAAAAAGTGAGCATTCTGAGTGTGAGCATTCTGATTGTTTCACTTCACCAGCATTTGGTATTTCTGTCGTTTTCATGTCAGCCGTTCGGATATGCACACAGTGGTATGTCACTGTGGTGCCGATTTGCATGTCCCTGACGCCTAGCGATGTGGCGCCTCACCGTGTCTCTGCCCTCCTGAAATCCTCTTTGTAAGCACTTCAGGAAACTACTTGGCAGTATCTACTAGATTTGAACATGCATTTCCTATTACCAGAAATTCTACTTCTATGCATTTACCCAACAAAAATGTGTACACATGTTCACCAAAACACATGTACAGAAATGTTCCATAGCAACACCGTTCATAATAGCCCTAAACTAGAAATTGCCCAAGAGCTCATTAACAATAGAATGGATAAATAAATTTGACATATTTACACACAATAGAACCCTACATAGAAGCAAAAATGAATAAACTACTACAACTACATACAATAATGTCCAAGAATCCCACAAGCAAAAGATTGAATGAAAGAAGTCAGATACAAAAGAGTACACAGTGGATAATTTCAGTTACATAAAGTTCAAAACCAGGCAAAACTAATCTATGGTATTAAAAATTAGGATGATGGCCCTGGCTAGTTTGGCTCAGCAGTTAGAGCATAGGCCCTCGGACCAATGAGTCTCGGGTTCGACTCCGATCAAGGGCACGTACCTCCATTGCGATTCATCCCCAGTCCTGGTCGGGATCATGTGGGAGGCAACCAGTCGATGTGTCTCTCTCACATCAATGTCTCTCTCTCTCTCTCTCTCTCTCTCTCTCTCTCTTCCCCACCCCATCTGAAGTTTAAAAAAAAAAAAGAAAGAAAAAGAAATTAGGATGATGGTTATCCCTCAGGTCACGAGGGCTTCAGGGGTGCTGGTAATGCTCTCTTTTTTCTTTATCTGAGTGCACACTACATATGTATACTTGGTTTGTGAAATCAGCTGGAATACAAACATGATTTGTGATTTTTCTAAATTATTTTTGAAATTGTTATTTCTAAATATAAAGTTCAAAAATGTTAATAATACTTTTTTTTAAGTATGAAAAACACAGAGAAAGAAAGAATCCCTGATACACTCCCTCTCATTACCATCAAGTGATCATCAAGCCTTTGCTTGAATAATTCCAGGGTGAGGAATCTATTTACTGCCCAGATAGATCACTTGTCAGAAAGCTTTCCCCTTACATTCAACCATAACTTGCCTCTCCACAACTTGCTCCAATCAGTTGTTCTGTTGTCCTAACAGATGCCAAATAGATCTGCTCTGTCCATCAGCAGCTGCTCTTCAAATATTTGACGGGAGCTACCATATAACCCCCTCCCCAAGTCTTCACTTCTCAAAACTAAAGAGCCCCAGGTCTTCTAGTCACACCTCAAGATCTGGTTTCCAGTCCCTCTGGTGTCTTGACTGCATTCCTTTTATCTAGTGATACCCCGAACAGAGCACAGTCCTCTAGGAGAGGCCAGAGAAGAGCAGAAAACAGCAAAAGGCAGAATCATTGTGTGTAAATCTAGATAGTGTACTTCTTATCAGCACACCCTAACCTTTCATTTGCCCTTTATTTGTTTATTTTGTTGTTAATCCTCACCTGAGGGTATTTTTTCCATTGATTTTTAGAGAGAGTGAAAAGGAGGAAGGAAGAGAGGGAAGGAGGGAGGGGAGAGAGAGAGAGAGAGAGAGAGAGAGAGGGAGAGAGAGAGAGAGAAACATGGATATGAGAGAAATACATCGACTGGTAGCCTTCCTCACGTGCCCAGACCAGGGCTGGGATCCAACACGTGACCCAGGTAAGTGCCCTTGACTGGGAATCAGACCTGCAACTCTTCCGTGCTTGGGTTGACGCTCTAACCACTGAGCAACACAGACTAGGGCTTGCCCTTCTTTAAAGTGCACATTATACAGTTTACTCCTTTTGAGCAATTGGTTAAGCTGCCCCCACACACACACCACCCCCAGGTCTTCCACAATATGCTTAAGCCCACATTTACTTTCTGTGTTTGTCCAGCCTCAGAGCTCTCTTAAGACTTAGAACACTCTTTGGCTGAACTCCAATTCTCCAAAGCAAAGTCTTGGAGATAGAGGAATATCTGTTATAGAAACACCTCTCAATACAGTCTTTCTACCAACCCTCCTAATGAAAAACAAAAATGAAGTCTTCTTCCCAGCACATCATCTCTTGTCCTTGAGTGAGCTCCATTTTAAAGTCTATCTGGGGGAAGGAGTGGGGGGGATGGAGGAAACACAATTCCATCGGGCATCTCCAAAGTATGACCTATAACTAAACGCCGGCTGTCACCCTGGCCTCGACGAGGTCTGAGCAATGAAGGGCACGCTGGTCACTTTCCTTCTCCTTTCCTCTCCTAAAGTCAGCTCCAACTGGACACTCTGGAGGTGGGCACGGCTGGCTCTGCTCACTCAGCCCCTGGCCTTTGTGTGACGGTGGAGGGTGAGCTTAGGAAGGAAAACGTGGCAGGGTGAGAAGGAAACCTGATCTTTTTGAAGGCATCTCAAATCTCAAATCGAAGGTATCGCTAAAGAAAGACCAGTGCGAATCCCTTCCCATCTGTGGAAGGAGGAAAAGACGGAGAAACGTTTCTACAAAAACTCCCAGGCAGCCTCATGGGTATCTTTAACATCGAGACTAGGTGACCGGGAGATTCGTTAAGCAAGGAAGCACCAGAGAAGCGAACGTGTGCAGGGGACCAAGTGAAGTGGGCCGAATTAGGGAGGACAAGGCGACGGGGGAAAAAAAGGCTGTCAAAGGCCCCTAGTGGCGAGGGGCGACCTCTCCGTGAGGCCAGCGAATGGGGGTGGGGAGGGGGAGGAACCCAAATCGGGATCGGCGAGGAAGCTGCTCACCTACCTTGCCCACGTCTGCTCCATCTTCCCGGCTCTGTCCGCTCGGGCGCCCCTCAGCCGGGCGTGGAAGCAGCCCGGGAAAAGGAGAAGCCTTGCCCACGACTCTCCAGTGCAAAGGGCAGCAGCCTTTTCCTCCCCAGCTCCCTCCTTCTGCGTCCGCAGAGAGGCTCCGCTCCCTGCTTTTTTAGAAAACCCGGTTGGACGTGGCCAGACCTCCAGCTAACGGTGCGGCGGGCACAAGGGAGGGACTGTTCTCAGGAGGAAGCTGGAGGCGAGCGGCGCCCGGGGCTGTTTGGGGAGCCGGCCGGAGGCAGCCAGGCTGAGACACGACTGGCTGGCACGAGCGGCTCGGCACCAGCTGAGCTGTCAACCGCAGCGGAGGCGGGGCTCCACCGCGTCGGGGCTGAGCCGCCCAGGTTCCCGCCGCACACACCCTGCAGCCTTCCCCGCCTTGCTGATGTTGGCAGGAGGGCAGAGGGCTGAGAGGATGCCACACCGAGCCCTCTGCCCCTCACCCACCCCACCAAGGGGCTTTGGGGGAAAAACACCAACTGTTGGGAGAATTTAGAGAGGAGTTCCTCTCCTGTGCCTGCATCACCCCACCCACAGGTAACCCCAAAGCCAGAGCCGGAGGGTGGGAAGGTTTTAGGCGCCACCCTGGCTGAATGTGGAAGCACATACTAGATGGTCATCAGATGTGGGGTTATTTTCTTAGCAATCTGCATTGCCAGCCTCACCAGTACTTTGTGGACAGGAACCTTCCCAGGAAGGGAAGCATCCTCACAAAACCTTGCAGGCTCACCAGCTGTCCCCATCTCAGACATCCCTGGATTTAAGGTATTTCTATCTCTCTGGGTTTCAGTTTCCCAAGCCAGAGGCCACTGGGCTCTACCACTACCTGCAAGAGGGCAGAGGGCTCCCAAACTTCCCAGAACACTAGAAAAGCTTCCAGACACTGGCCATCAGGACCTAGAATCCCCTCTATAACGGTTCTAAGATCATGGGAAAAGGTCCTTTAAAGATGGCACTGCCTGAGACCCTGTACCATCTATTTATGTAACAAGGTTTAAACAAGTCAGACATGCTATAATTAATGTGCTTACAGCCCTGTCGCTCCCTTTTAGCTCTAGAATAAAATCTTTTTATTAAGTGACATAATCACCGTTATTATTAGCACCACCACTGACCTTTTTTTAATTTGCAGAAAGCTTTTGCCCACGTGTGGCAATGCTGATTTAGTTATACTTGTGCCACCGATGAGACCCAAAAAGGCTGTAAGTCTTTGTTAAGGCTCTGATACAGGTTGTTTTCTACACATTGTGGCTCCAGAGACATGATCTCTGAACATCAGACCATCAGAGCTTCCCTAGATTGAACTGATTCTCTCAGGTATTCTAGAGTTTAACTCAGGAAGGACCCTAGTGATGCCTGCATATGGGTGAGATTGTAGGGAGCTTGTATTCTCTGGGCAAACTGTCATCCTGCTTCCCATCTCTTGGGTTAGCTCCCCTAGTTATCAGTACAGAATGGGGGCTGGGAGGGCTGGATAACATTAAAACATTGGAGAGTTCAGAGGAACAGTCTAAAAGGCCCCTGCTCTAGAATCCCCCAACCTCAACACTTAGCTCCTATCTAAGGCCACAGTGTGCTTGAGCTTAGAATATTTCCAGGAAACATTTCTTGAGACAAAGCTCACAGGCCACCTGTCTTGAAAAGAAATTACTGCTGCCTCTGAAGGAAAAAAAGGGGAGGGCAGGGAAAGTCGGATTTCTGTCCTCCATCCCAAAGTCGGTGCTATATTTAGTTTTGTCTCAAATCAAATCATGGGCTACTGAGTTTGGAGAGGAACTCTGACTACAGCCAGGCGTGCACTGCATTTAAGAAATGACACATTAACTACATAAAGTGTGGGGTCTCAGAAGTGAGGCTGGGAAAATATGCTCATTTGATTAACTGTTTAAATTTCTCCATATTTCCTCTAGTGATTATCCATATATATTACATATCTATTTGTAGAATTAAAATTACAACTTAGACATAAGTTGATATCTTTTTTTCACTTATTAAATATTTGTCCATGTTCTTAGCGTGTCTTCATATTCAGTATTCTTTTTTTTTTTTTTTTTATCATCCTCACCCGAGGACATTTTTCCATTCTTTGTTCAGGTAGAGTGGGAGGGAGAGAGAGGAACAGAGAGAGAGAGAAACATCGATGTGAAAGGGACACATCGAATGGTCGCCACCCGCACAACCAACCAGGGCCAGGGACAAACTGCAACCGAGGTACGTGCCCTTAGCGGGAACCGAACCCGGGTCTCTCCGGACCGCAGGCCGACGCTCTAACCGCTGAGCCAAACTGGCCAGGGCCATATTCAGTATTCTAATGATTGTATAGTATTATATAATATCAATATGGCCACAATTTACTTAATAATATCCTATTACTGCATAGTTATGCTGTTTCTAATATTAGACTCATAGACAATGCCTTGATGATGTCTTCCTGCCTTCATTATTTTATTCTTTTGAAGGAATAGGAATTTTATGGTAAAAGGACTAATTTTATCATCTTACATAGCCTCAACAGCACTAAGACTTATCATTTTAATTTTTCTCATTATTTACCAGATAAGAAATAGTTTGATAGTTATGATATTTTAGATATAGATCTATTTAACATAATTTAATTTTACTTTATGTCTCAGAATATGAACTAGTAAGTTCTTGTTTCATATGCTTCCTTGCAAACCATTGTCTGTAGTAGCTAGTCATTGTGAAATCCTACTGTGTGAGTCACTGTATATTATATATACATTATATTATATTATATTATATCACCTTTTTGTTGAAACTATGCTGCTTCACAAAGAACTCCCAAATCTCAGTATTGCACAACAAATATCCATTTCCACTCAAGGATCTGTGGTTCAGGTATAAATTGGTTAGGCACAGGTTCAAATCTGTTCCATGAATCTCTCGTTCCAGGACTCGCATTGAAGCAGCAGGGAAATACTCTTCTCATGGTAGAATGGAGGAGTGTAAGAGAGTTGGCAGAGACTTGTGATGTCCCTTAAAGTCTCTGCTCAGAACTGTCCTTTCTGCCACATTCCATTCCCCCAAGTAAGTCATACGGCCAAGTCCAAAGTCATGGGTGCAGGAAAGTACACTTTGCCCACATGGGTGCAGGAGGAGGGATTATTTGCAGAACAATAATACAATCTACCAGTTACTCTATGTGGTACTTCCTGGCATTTTGTTAAGCTTTTCTCCTTGTGGATACCTGGTAACTTTCCTTTCCCCACACCATTTAAAGTTAGGTATAGCTTTGGCCAATGAACTGTAACTTCCTTTGGCCATTGAAATGTGAAAGGAAGTCTCATGTGGTCCTTCTAGGTAGAATTTGGAAGTTTTTAAGAGCCAGTATACAAGGTGGGACAAAAGTAGGTTTACAGTTGTTCATATGGAAAATAATACAATAATAAATAATACAAGAAAAAACTGTGTGTCGCATAGACCAACTTTGGCTTCACCTTGTACAATAGGCAACTGTCAATTTCCACCATTGTAATGATCCTTGAGGATCAATACTTGTCAAGATGAAGTTTTCATCAACCAGGGTCTCTGAGTGAGTCTAATGATCAGTGCTCCTGCTGACCCAACTGAACACATGGAATGAGTAAGAAATACATTTTTGTTGCATTAAGTTACTGACATCTGAAAATTATTTATTACTGCAGCATAATCTAGCCTATCCTGACACATTATTTTATTTTATTTTTAAATTAATGTTGAGACTGAGGCAGAGAGAAAACTGTAGGTTCCAGTGCTCAGTATGTAGAAAGTCACGTGTCTTCCTCCTTGTGCATCTCTCCCAGTTTTCAGGAATAGAACTCACAGAATCTGGATAGATAATGTTGATAAATTAAACCAGTTATGTTATTCTTTCCTGAGTACACTACTTTTGAACTGGTCAATTGACTGCTTCAGGAAATGTTTGAATTGATGATAAGAGACAAAAAATAGGAAGGTATCTGTCTTTATACTCAGCTGCAAATAGTCCAAATGTATTTTAACCATCATGAAGGTTTTCTATTCACTTTCTCTTATCCTCTCCACTTGATTCTGATTAAAAACGACTATTGATCTTGGTGTGGCTTACTCCATGAACTATAAGGCGATAACAAAAATAACCGTATCTAACATATTTTTGCTACATTCTCTTCTAAACGTGTTGCATATGTTGATTTCTTTCATCCTCACAATAATGTAATGAGGTGGGCTTTTGTTATCTCTGTTCTATGAAGGACTAATGGGGGGCACAGGGAGGTAAAGTGTATCACCCAAGGTCACAAAGCTGAGATCTCAAATCAGTTTAGCTCCACAACATCATTTCTTTTTTTTATTTTTTTATCCTCACCGAGGATATTTTTCCATTTTTTGTACAGATAGAGTGGGAGGGAGAGAGAGGAAGGGGGAGAGAGAGAGAGAAACATCGACGCGAAGGGACACATCGAGTGGCTGCCACCCGCACGACCAACCAGGGCCGGGGACAAACTGCAACCGAAGTACGTGCCCTTAGCGGGAACCGAACCCAGGTCTCTCAGGACTGCAGGCCGACGCTTTAACCGCTGAGCCAAACTGGCCAGGGCTCCACAACATCATTTCTAACCACTCACTACACACACTGCTTCCCTGATTTTGACCCCTACATTCCCTGAGACTTAGAAAGGAAGACACTATGTCTGCAACATCTGTCACATCACTGATTCAGCAAACCTGGTTAGTCAGCAGATGTCTCCTTTGTCCCTCACAGCTCCATGTCCATCTCTCTAACCTGGGGTTTAAAAAAAGTCCTTTCTAGACAGATGAATCATTCTGCAATCAAAGATAGAGTTTCTGTGGTAGATTAAAGATGACCAAATTATTTCCTCTTCTCCGATTGAAGGATGAAATCTAATTCTATTTCTTTAATCTGGGTTGGTTTTAGGGACTTTTTTGACCATAGAATAAAACATAAGAGATGTTCTGGGACTGCCAAGGCCAATTCAAAAAGGAACCTTGCAGCTTTCATGCAAGACTCTTGGGAGACTTGCTTTTGAAGCCCTGAGCTGCCAGATAAGAAACTCCCATGCTAGAGAAACCATGTGGAGAGGCCCTGGGACGACAGGGAGAGGGAGGGGCTAACTGAGCCCACCAT